TTTTTGACTGTCGGGATTTTTTTGTCGGGATTATGACCTGTCGGGATTGTGCTTGTCGGGATTTTGACCGGCACCCGCTATTATGACGATGTGGCCATGTAATTACGAGGCATAAGTCACAGAAAGGTCTGGCCACATACAAGCGACCGAAGACTATCATGCAGCAAGCGGGCCTCAATGGTTTTTTAAGGTATTGACACTTGTAAATGAAGAAGGATCACTTAAAAATATTTATTCAATTTCGATTTTTTGGTTTTTTTTGTAAAAATTCCATTTATTATTATTATTATTATTATTATTATTTTATCTCGTTTTTGGCAAGTTTTTTTGTCATTGCAATTGTCATTATGTCGTAATCTGATTACCTTTTAAAAATAATCCGTTTAAATAGGTCCTAACTAATTACGACAATATGTCTGCACCTCTAAACAATATTCATCAGTAAGCTGCTGACAAAATGTGTTGGGCGAAAACTTCCTTAGTGGGAATACATTTAACAATTGTAATTTCATAGCGATAGAAATGTAAAATAAAAATTAGTATTGTATATAATAAATAATAATAATAATAATAAATGTAATTACATACGTAGCTTCATGCATTTTTAAAATTGCCAATTGTCTATAACTGATAATGTCTATAATATTTGAGCAAAAAAAGAATATTTGCATTATGACATTATGTCATAATGATGCAAGACGTTGCTGCGCCATTATCATCTAGTTTGCCGAATAAGGTATCAATAGATTCTAATTGATGTCTATTGATACCTTTTGGCGCCAAAATTTGGCGGTAATAGGAACGTCTAATTGGTACGTATCCTATTGGATATTTTACATGTGATAAGTATTATAGGCTAACGCTAAAGAGCAAAATCGATTTAGAAAATCTGTATAGTCTGTATAGAAACTACTACGTATGTTTAGTCTACTAATTTAATCTACTAATTTAGTCGACTAAACATAATAGTCGACTAAGCCGATTCCAATCCCAAATTATAGCAGAAAGGTGGTTCAGTGGCGTATGTGCGTACGTAATTTTTTATGTAATTAGTTCTTAAATTACCAAAGAATGACCGCGAAACAACTAAGAATATCTAAAGAACACAAAAATATTAATGGCGTACGTGCGTATATACGTATATACGTATGTACATATGTACGTGCGTGCGTACGTAATTTTTTTACGTAATTAAATTACCAAAGAATGTCTGAGAAACGGTCAAGAATATCTAAAGAATATCTGAATAATATCTGAAATAATATCTAAAGAATATTTAAAGAATATCAAAGAATATCAAAGAATATCAAAGAATATCAAAGAATATCAAAGAATATCAAAGAATATCAAGGAAGGTCTAAAGAAAATTCAAAGGAATCTAAAAAATTCCAAAGAATATTCACACCGAGAATCATATGGATAATAAAATTGCCACAATAATGTCACACGAATGAATAACAGAGAATATCAGAGAATAACAGAGAATAACAGAGAATAACGGAAACTGTATAAATAAAATGACAGATTATAAAGGTATTAATTTATTCTGAAGATTTTGACATTCATTACTATCATTACTATCATTACTATCATTACTATCATTACTATCATTACTATCATTACTAAACAAGATTACACTATGAAGATTACACTATGAAAAAGATTTTAAGATGGAAAAATCATGATCAGAGATGAAAAAAAGATCTACTTGTACTGCACCCCGAAACACTTTTAATCCGTAAGTACGTACGTAATGAATATAAAACCCGAAACACCGCGAAACATCAATAAACATACTACGAAACAAACCCGAAACAAATTTAATTAATTTCAAAAAAGCTTGATAAAATAAATAATTTTTGCTCGTGCCGTTTGTTTCGCGTACCTTGTTGATCTTTTCGTAAACAAAATATATGTTGTCATAAATGAGCATGATAATAGTGATCACATGCTGTTGGTTATTGTTAATCACCAAATAATCACCAAACAATGCACGTGTTGATTTAATTTATGAATTAATGCGAATAATGTAACGATGATTACTTCGTATATACGTATTTATGTATTTATGTATGTATTAAATTAAAGTATGTATCAGATAATATCAGATATCTTAAATGTTATCGTAAATGTTTATCGTAAATGTTATTATCATAATGTTAAGCATAAATACTTATTCACGTGCTCCAACAATGCTATCTAATTTGACCATATTTAGTTATCTATTAAAAATTAAAACCGTAAATTAATGCATAAAGTAATTGGATTTATCTTTTTGTTTGGATAAAAAATCGGAATGTCTTTAATGAATTATTCATCGAATTATTCATCGAATTATTTATCAAATTATTTGTTAGAATTATTCATCAAATTATTTGTTAGTTAAATTATTCATCAAATTATTTGTTAGTTAAATTATTCGTCCTAAGCATTTATCACATAATTCGTCGCATCATTATGTAGGTCATGCAAACGAATAAAAATGTCTTCATTATGATCAGGCCAATCCAAAGCAAATCGGACTTTCATTAATAATTCCTAAATCGCATATGGTGAAACTCTTTATGAACGTTAATACCCGATTCACATGGGATACTTAGTATTATATATTTATTCTATTTTATACGTTTAGAAAATTATTTAATATTAATCTTTATATTTATCTTTATATTTATCTTTATATTAAATCTTTATATTAATTAGTTTTACTTTTTTGACGATAAAAAGTACTCTTGAAAAACGAATCAGATAGGTAGATCTTGGATATGTTCTTTGTGTAGGAACTCCTGGATAAATGAAAAGATTTATAGCAAGTTAAGTCGATATTTGGGGCAGTTACATGAAACATTCCCAAGCCCACTTCGTTATTATAATGGAATGTGAATCCGTGATCCTCTCTTAATCTCGAAACAAATAGAGAAAATCAATTCCTTCCAATTCTACGTTCGTAACCCTCAAAATTAATTAGCATTACAACGCGAAATTTCAATCTTTAGGTTTTGTACAATTTTTACTTATTTTCGAGTTTTTTTTTCATTGTTGGCGACATAATATCTAACTTTGTATTTGTTCGGATTTGTTTTGATTGTCCATTGTTCTAAAGAAATAAAAATGGGTGAGAAGATTCGCGTTTATTGTCCTATTTCGGAAATTAGGAATTATAGAATTTATCGTTGACATGACGATTATAATTGCTTTTAGCTGCATTCACCTTCCTATATGGTAAAACTCATTAGTAATTCATAACACGTATACACGGAGACATTTATTCGTGTAAGGTTACACGATTAGCTTTTTATTATTTCTTAACTCTAGTATTATAAAAATCTGTTAAGTATATCTGACAAGTGACTACCCATAACTTATATAAAGCCTCTGCGTTCTCGGTTTTTTGAGTCTTCATCCTCCATTCCTTCACCTTGTCATCGACTAATAGACAAGAAAAACCGTAGCTTCATAAAATCTTGAGGCGATGGACGACAATTCTTCTGCCGGCTTCGTCCACGATTCAAAACACCCCTTACCGAATAATGACAAGGAGGCGGATCGCCTGCAAGCTGTACATTACTTCTTAAAGAATATTTTTCAATCGAATTATATTGCTCCTGTCCAACAAATTCTCAAAAATAACAGCGCGCAAGTGCTTGAAGTCTGGTATGCTTTACTATCCTCCTTTTTTTATCTCGTTTTAAACTTTCTTCTTCTTATCTGATTAATTTCTTTAATTTCTTCTTAAAGTTGTGGTTCAGCCACTTGGATCACGGAAATGGTAACTTTTATATCTATCTCAAAAAAATTTATATATATTGGTGTTTTTTTTCTTCGTTGTAATTCTTATTTTTATTTTTTTTCCTTAAACAAGGCTACCGAATTTCCTTTGTCCACCTTCACTGGAACTAGCCTCTCGATGAGCTGGCCACGTGGTAATTATTGAAATTATTATTGAATAATATTGAAATTATTTATTTATTTTATTTTATTTTATTTATATTTTTATTTATTTGTTTATTTATTTTTTTTATTTTATTTTATTGACGTTAAATTTTTAGATGTTCCATCTAATTGCAATTTTTCTTGTGTAAATATTCTTGAAGGACTACCATTTCCAGTAAGTTTCTTTTTCATAATTCCGTTTTTTCATAATCCCATTTTTCGTTTTTTTTTTTTTGTTTTTTTTTTTAATATTTATTCTTTGCATATAGGATGATTATTTCGATTATGTTCACTGTCGATGTGCGCTTGCAGGCTTCAGCATTAATGATTGGAATACCAAAGTCATTCCAGAAATAGTAAGGGTATCAAAGCCTTCCGCTTTCTTTGAACTTTGCGAACTTGACGTTCATTCCGTAAATGCTGGCCCCATCATGAAGAAAATTACCAACGCAGGTAATATACTATAAAAATTCTCTTTTTCTTTCCAATTTTTTTTTTTTATTAATCACTGGATTTTCAATTTAGAAATATCCCTTGGCTCCTCTCGTGGGGTCGATAGTGCAATTTTCGATAAAATTGGTGATTTTCTTTTGGCTAATAAAGCCCTGACCAATATTAATCAACAACAAAAATACTGCCCTCTTGGCACTTGGGGTGGCGAATCTGGTAAAATGGTTTGTAATCTTTTATATATTTTACCTCGCAAGTTTTTATTACGTGAATGAAATTATTAAAATTTCTTAAAATTTCTTTATGTATTGTAGAACGTTGAAATGTTTCGTGATTCATGTTTAGCGGCTCAATCGCAAATGGCTAAATTTATGAACATAACTTCTCAAGAATTTGAAGATATGGTTAATGACTGTATAAAAGAGGCCGAAACTTTTCGTACTTACTCGAAAATACATCTTATTTATGCTCAAAAGATTGCTCCATCAATCTCTGTGTAGTTTTTGTAACCTTTATTTTTTTTTTTTTTTTTTCAATTATTCAAATTATTCGTTAGAATTTTGTGTTAAAATGTGTTATAATGTCGCTTAACTTCGTATGTCGTCCTTCTATCGTCGTATTTTATATGTCGTCCTTCTATCGTAGTATTTCGTATATTACACTTCTTTTATCGTACTTCTCATATCATACCTTTCATGTCGTTTTCTTTTACATGTATCTCGTATATCACCATACGTTTCTAAGTGTTTTTTTTTTTTTATGAATATGGTTCTAGAACCAAATTATGCACTATAATTATATAGTATTTATATAGTCGTCTTTTTTTATGGTTTAAAAAAAAAGAGTGAGGAAAGCAAAAAAGCAAAAGGATATGAAATTATTTCGAATATGTATAAGCAAAATGGCAGCAAATGGCAATTTAATAAATAGACTTTTTTTTTTGTTTACTGGTTGATATAAATATCTTGTCTTATTCAATTTTTTTTATAATATACTCTATTATAGTATATCATAATAACATCATGACGCGTTAAACGTCATACATAACGCGTCTCTTGATATTATTATACACAAAAATAAGCTAAACAAAAATATTAATCATGTACATATGTATGTAATACTAGCCGGGATCTGCATTTGAATATAGGTCTGCAAATGGAAATTATTACAATTTATGATTACCGTAGTCATTTATATATTTGACGATAATGTACTGTATATATGCATTGTAAAACATTATAAAATAATTTAAATTTCATATTAAATAATTGTGTTTATCACAAAAAAAAAAAAAAAAAAAAAAGTTATTGTCGTGAAACCTCCGATTATTCAAAATCTCTATTGAGATTATTGTATAATTGAATTAGCCAATTAATATATCATATTTTTACCGAATTTGAAGACGTATAATATACGCACTATGAAAATATTTTGTTTCAAAAAATAGTTAAGGAAAATCAAAAATAACATAAAATCTTGGCACTTTTACGTCATTGTATTTAAAATTTTTTTTTAATAATTATATGCTAACATATATACTGTATAGAATTAACAAGTCGTATATATTAATTTTTTTTTATATCTAATGCTTAAATCGTAATATAGCACGAAAAAACACCTTTTTAATTAATTATGATTAGTTGATTTTAGGACCGTTAAAAAGCTTGCCGGACCAAATCCTCAAGTCGACTTCACACGGACACTTTAAAATCGACCCCAAGCTTATCCCAGAATCCCAGACAAAGGTCAGATGCAAGTAGTTGTTCCAATTCATGATCAGGAGGGCATTCATGCGATCAGCTAATTTACATCGAAATTTATCTATTATTTGATCAATATAGTACCGTATATTACGTATTAATATGCACGGATTCAACTCAAGGATCGACTTCTTATCAAAGTCCCTACTTACGGAGTTCTGACCGAAAGGATCGAACTTTTAACAGCTCTAATTGATTTAATTTTGATTTAAATATGCTGTATATACTATTCTTTTTATTATACGTATTAGGCACCAAATAACTTTTAAAATTACTTACAAAAAAAAAAAATAATAATAATTTATTTAAAAAATTTTTAGTATTAATAAATTTTGGGCTTTGTAATTTATAGCTATAGCGATGTATCGCTACTCCCGGTTCTATGTCAAAATTCGGAAAGTCAAACTCCCGAAACTTAATTGTCGCGTCGTGTGATGTCGGAGCTCCAATATTCAAACCCGCTTATGATTAGTAATCTATATTACTCATACAGTATAGTTTCGAAATTAAGCACCATCAAATTCTATGAAATATCTGAAATTATTACACGGCTCCTAATTGTTCACCCATGACTTTTTTTAATGATATTTTCGCGGTTGAAATTTTCACGGCTGATATTTTCACAAAGAACTTTCTTTTTGTCGTTTTTTTTTTTATATTGCATTATGATTTTTCGTAAATTATCTTTAAAGAATATAACCAAGAAAGAAATCCTAAAAGAAAGAAATTTTATTTTGCATGAAGAAAAGCCGTGAAAGTCTTGTAGAAAATAATAGTTATAAAGTCATGATCCGTGTAATAAATCAGTTATTACACGTATTTGTCGTCGACATCATGAAACATCTCAACTGATCCGTGATGTTTAACGATATCTATGATAAAACATGAAATAACTATTACATAAGCACTCACTATGTATATAGGGATGTTACGGTTTAGTCTGGTCTGGTCATGATCCTAAAGACCAGTCCTAGCAGAGGACCACGGATCAGACTGTGGTCCAAGTCAGTCCATAAACCAGTCAGTCTATTGGCTGGTTGTCAAAATAACTAATATTGTAATAACAATAAGCTATTTTGTTTTTAATGACCACTATATATAAAAAAAAACAAAGCTTTACAATGTTAATCAGTTAATGTTTCTATGAACTGAACTTTTAGCCAAGTTCAAATTCAGTTCAAAATTGAACTGAAACTTGAGCTTGAACATTTTTTAAAAGGATATTGTTATTTATCATTAATGGCAATATTGCTGGGAATACTATATCTCAAAAACCTACTAGCTAACACATGTTAAAAGTACTAAGTAAAAATGTTCAGAATCTAAAAATCTAACCCTAACAAAGATTTGGACTCTTATATCTAACTTTATCCTTGGTCTAAAATTGCACCTTATCTCTAAATTTGATAAAAGAAATAGGAATTGATGGTATTGCCACTAGTAATAAATGTTAAAATTCTTTTTAAAAAAAGTTTAGTTTAGATTCAATATTAAACTTTTAAATCAAGTTCAGGTTCAGTTCAGGTTTAGTTCAAAAGTTCATAAACATGTTTAAATTCAATAAATTATATATATATATATTATATGTTGTTAAAAATAATTTATTTTCAATAATAAATTATTTCTTTTTTAGAAAAATATAAAACTTCTTAGATCTAAAACTAAGCTATTTATATAATCATCAGTAGTTATTTTATAATAAAATCAAAATTTTACTAAGTAAATTAATCTACCTTATTAAAAGAAAGTTATTCAGAAAATCAAATATATTTTTTTTAAATATTAATAGTGAGACCATGTCTCTGTCTTTATTAGAAAATCAAATATATATCTTAAAAGTTTTATATAAATCAGATAACTTTTTATTAATTAACTTTTAATTTTTATATTTAATAAATACAAATTTTAAAAAATTTTAAAAAATTCATTAAAAATATTATACAAAAAAATATTAATAAAAAGTTATCCAATTTGGATAAAACTTTCTTTTTTTTTTTTTTTTTTTTTTTTTTTTTTTTTTTTTTTTTTTTTTTTTTTTTTTTTTTGTTTATTTCTTTTTTTTTTGTTTTTTTTTGTTTGATTTTTTATAATAGTGACGGGTAACCACATGGGCTACTCCTGACTTTGTTATATTAACGAGGATACATTCTAGCCATATGTATAACTTTTGGTTGTCTATTTAAGCAGTCTTGCATATGTAACCCATATGAACTACACTAGATACCATACTTGTAACCCACTATTACTTGAGTTATTTAATTAAACCCTCTGATCAACTTAGTGCTGTCGAGATATTTTTCTCAAAGAGGAACTGCTGTGTAAGCCCCTTAGGACTTTAAAGCGGACACACACTGCCATATAGGGGGTCCTTTATCCTTGTCGTAAACCTATTAGAGCGGTCCATGTCCTATACATGTATTATCTAGATTTTCAGTAACTTACGCCTAGGCCGTGGCCAAGTACTTGCGGCTTTTTACCTCTGCTACCATTACCTACTCTGTGCTCTTGTAAAGTTCACCCAAACCCTAGCATCCACTTTACGGACTATCAACAATACTTCGATGCCAATCATCGGCTCCCTAAACCTTCAATCCAAATGGTCTGGGAAGGACCAGTGGGCGTCCCCTGGTATTCCAAATGAATCCTTTTTCCTCTGGTTAATCCAGCGGCCTGGTTGGTGTAGTGCATACCAAATACTCAGTCCTCGTTCTGTTTGTCTTCGGTGTCTGGTTCCTCAGATGATAATCTTTTACATAGCGCCATCGAAGATCTGTGCTACCTCTCTACTCGGGACTTCCCAAGTGGGCTTCCGTATCCCCTGATCCCTTGGATTTATTTGGCTGCTTCACTCAGATTTTGTGTAACTCATGCATTATACTACATTCCACAACCTCCGAATACGAGTTGGTGAGACCAAGGTTACAGGTGCTGACCCGATCGACATGTTATACAGTTTTATCATAACGCATTTCTGCAAATTCGAATTTCATCGCCAATGGGATTCGAACTCTTGTTCTGCCGTTTGAAGGTGCGACAACTTACCAACTACACTAAGTCGCCACATTCTTTGGATGAAACTTTCAAAATATACTCTAAATGCATTGCATTAGGAACATATTTTTAGCAACATGCATTAAAAAAACAATTAAGAAAATGCATTTATAGAGATTAAATATATATGTGGACCCAAATTTAAACCTGCATTTAGAGAGAATATACATTTAGAGAACATGCATTTAGAGAAAGTTGACTGTATATATTTTGATCTTTTAAACAATTTTCTTTTAATAAGATAAATTGATTTACATAGTAAGATTTTGACATTACTATAGAGTAACTATTGACAATTATATAAATAGTTTATTTTTAGATCTAAGAAATTTTAATATTTTTTTTAAAAAATAATTTATTATTAAAGATAAATTATTTTTAATAATATATAATATTATATATATATAATTTATTAAACTTGAACATATTTATAAAAGGTTTGGGCCCTATAGCTTAGCGGTTAAGCTGCCAAACCTTCACAAATTAAGTCTAAGGATTTTTTATTTTTGTAACTCAGTAGGGTGCTATAATCAAATATAAAGCCTGTAATTGAGTCCAAATGCAAATACAAAACTAGAAAAGGAAATTTTTAGAAAGAGGTTTAATTATAGAGCAGTGACAGTATTGTTACAGAACAGTTGTAAATAGTAAATTTGAACACTTTGGACAATTTTAAACAATTAAATAAA